TCTAACACAGTTTATATAAATAAATGATTAATTAAACTATTTAATTTTTTCTTAAAACAGCCATCTACATTTAGAGCTTGAAATATCACTTCGTTATTTTTCATACTGTGAACAACCGACATCCTGTTGAGTAATGTGATGGCTTCTGGAATTCATTAGCCCTTTAACTCCAATGACAAATACACCTACTCAGGTTACAATATACGAAAATCTCCAAATACCTACTACACTGACTTGAACCAATTCATTCGAGTGACTAGGCAACTACCCATAGGATATTATCAAAGACACAGGAACGTACTAAAACAGCAAGCTGGCGCAATGAAATCAATCACTGTATACAAGCTCGTGATAAAGGTATTGGATATTCGGTATTGAACATGGTAAACAATGCTGCCCTAATTGCGCGCATGACAAATTGTTAACTCTACAGTGTGCATAATGGACGTCACAATGAATAATCCGAAACCTTTTCTCAGTGGAATAACTGGGAAGCAGGTCATTGTTAAACTAAAGTGGGGAATGGAGTACAAAGGATACCTTGTTTCTGTAGACAGATATATGAATTTGCAACTCCATAGCACGGATGAGTATATTGACAATTGTCATACTGGAAGTTTGGGAGAGGTTCTGATCCGGTGCAATAATGTTTTATATATCAGAGAGTGCGATGACGATCGATTGGATACTTTGTGATGACTTAAGTCTCAGATGTTGAATAATTGTAAAAATATTGCACTTTTCTATCCGTCCCCTGTAATAAATAATACTAACATTCCTTGTCTTATTTCTCAGTTATGCTACCATGTTAATTTCATTTAAATAGTCATACTTAGTCACCAAGCAAGGGCATCTTCGATAATAGATATTTTAGACATAATGGTAGAAATCGATTATAGACACATGAGTTCTCACTAGGTGTAGTTTAAGTGTAACATATCCAATTTCTTGTGTTTGGAAGCGAAGCGTAGTGAGCTTAACACATCCGAAGGCGAGTAAAACGATGAAATCGAGGGAAGTCAGGGGATTCGTAACAATGGCTTGTCTTTATCATCTGGATTTACGTTTGATTGGTCAAAACTCCTCTGATAACCGTTTGACCTGAGGACTCCTGTATTGTCGGTGTTTATTCTTAACTTTTCAAAAATTCATGAAAGCCCCTCACCTTAACGGTCATTAACACGTGTGTTGCTTCAGAAGATTAGATCCTATCCCTCGTAAACCGTGGTCACGTTTAAAATCTCATTCATGAAATGGTTGTAGTGTTGTGACTTGTAAAATCAATTTCATAGCACATATATCACTGTACATAACGTCCTCATGTACATTTAGCGTCAAGTTTTCACGGCTTTTGCAGTTGACACTTATTTATCATCGTTGCGGACGCTGATGTATCACTGTGTTTTGTATTTTTATGATGCGATCATTAAAGGAAGAGTGGCCAAGAAATAATGTGATCTGATAGTCTGCCTGATTACATCGTTACTGGATGTAGGACTTGAAGAATCGTAGCTTGATATCACTAATTTTATGTTTACCACGATTACCCCATTCGCAAGTGGTTTTCTGTAGATTGTGCTTCAAAGAATAGTACTAATAATGATAAGTTTCTGAATTTAAAATTGCGAAGGTTCACCAATAATATGGTCGTTAATATAAATAATCGATGTTCCCCATCAATAATAACTGAGTAAACTGGGCGATGATTTGCCTGCACCATAATTTAATAGGTCTCATTATTGTAAACTTCTTCATACTCTACATCGCTATGGTGAAACCACCAGTGATTATCAAACTAGTATGATGGAAACGACCCGTTTATTTCGAACAATAGCAGTTAAGTAAGTGATTCAGTCTCTGATTTGTGTTCTTGGTATATTACATAGAGTCCCATAGACAGATACTGACCTTAAGCAGGTGCTCATAGTGGCAGCTGAACAATGGCTTACCCGTGCTCACTAAATTGTCTGCTGATTAGAGGCAAAGCCCCAAACCCCGCCCCTATGGTTTAGGCAGCTGGGTAGCATCATCAGCCCTCACACATTATGGTTCATACCAAAGTATTTAGTTAATTTGTTATTGTCGGGGAGAAGTAAATATACCCAACAACCCTATTCTTCAATGTCGCGATAACTGATGAAGAGTAATACTCAGCTATCATTCTACACGAAGTTATAATTCATTCCCTAGTACAAAGTTCCTAAAATATTTTAAGCTGTTGGTATCATATCTTACAGTCGTTTCTAACGAAACAATCGTTAACAACTGACATCTACAGATTCATTGCTTGTCTGAGCAAATCCTTGAAAAGTTGCAGTCCATTTATACAGAGAATGTGCTTTAGTGTGTCGTTAGTTGTGGTGGCCACATGAAAAGCAACTAAGAACTTACGCCCTAGAAAGTGAAGTAGCGTAGAACGATTTCCAGGAAACCTATGCTCACTAGACTAGTTATTTCATAACACTCATATGTATCTTCCCGAAATATATATGATTTGCATTTAATTCACATGAGTTTCAAATGTTCTCGCTTATTAATGTGTTCAAGTTTGGGATGCATAAATAAAACAAATACAGCATCTGTGTTTTTACTTGAGAAATTCTAATTTCTCGGTTATGATAGACAAAGACTGGTGTTTTTAGGACTATGAATGCGCTTCATTTTGATCTTACTTTTATCGTATATTGGGCCTGACTCGGCCTACCACCTACAGGTAGTGTTCTTCGGATTTGATTTCTTTCGTTCCGAAAGTTTTCCTTTGTTTACACCGCTTATCCACTTAATCAACAGAAGCTCTGCAGGTTTCCTAATTTCTAGTCTGCCTACAAAAACCGATGCAGTTTGCTACGTCCTTGTTGCATTAATTTAATTATCACTCCCTAATTCAGCTCAATATATGATCAATAAACTTGAGAATTCGTAGATACATAATAATGTTAGACTTTGGGATCCTGCTGTACATTTGAGATCAGGATAGCGTTCAATAAACTGTAGACAGATTTAAAGACCGAATACTCGACCAGCAATACATTCTTTTAGAAAGGGACATTATTTTCTGCACTTAATGATACGAAATCTTCACACAAGTTGTAAAGCCGTTTCCTAGAGTACAGTAAATGTGCACCGTAGATAACATAAATTAAAGAACTGAAAATCACAATTCCAAACTGACTACGCTCTAACGAATTATTCATAAATAACTATAAGATACTTCCAATAATAATTCTCTCAATCAGTGATACAATGATGTTTTCATCTAAAGGTAATTCAGAATAAATACCGTTTTATAAACGTTTGCTGATGTACAGTTGAAATTAATTATCATTAAGCTACCGAAGTTCTAGATGTAAAATATAGCATTTTACTAGTGCACTCGTTTCTATAAATTAATTAAGAATCTGACCAACTTCGTATAATCACTACTATTTTACTTAGAACTGGAAATCTAAACAAAATAAATGTAAATGATCTTAATAACATATTAGTCATTAGCTTTTACTCGATTTTCTTGGGAATAATTTCGAAGCAGTGCTTAATCATTTATATCTCTAAACCAACTTTACACCGAACTAAGTAGTTTATCACTACTTAACGTTGGGAACTAAGAAATTACTTACGCACTAATAATAACGCGTCTCACCTAATTCATAAGTATTAATTTCAGTGCCTATGATTCCCAGCAGTTAAAGAAAGTTATTTTTCACCTGATGAGTCATCAGTTGACACACCATAAAATATCAAAATAGGTTTGGTAATTTAATAATATTTCAATTATGCTCTAGATATCTTAGTCTTATACTGTTTCCACTGATGGATATCAGAATGTGAGAAAGAGAATGTATTGTTTGCTGACAAATGGGCATTTCTAATCAGAAAATATTCTGAAACCATTTTCTTTTAAAGTAGCGATACGCGCTGTCCGATGTCATAGTTGCATTGACGGAATTCCATTGTTATTGTTGCAATAAATATATTACTTGCGAGTAGCAGTAGATTATCAGATCAAATATTCCGACTGCATTATTGAATCTTAAATGATTTATTCTATCGGAAAGACTTTAATCTCTTTGCAACTTAATCAAGTCAACACTTCATTTCAGTCATCCTACACATTATTTTACAATCTTAAATTCATATACTATAGTTTTTAAATGATGTATTCTGCCGTAAACCTGACTACTTTTTGGATTATTAATTTGGATATATAGTTATGGAACTTGTAGAGAATTTATTGAAAAGAATATTCTTCGTATATACACATATGTTTTAAGATATTGGGAGATATTTCAGCGATTAAAAACTCATTCTATTAAAATTGATACCTTTATTTCAATTGAATTAGGCTATTGCGTAAAGCGATATCTCAAATGCATTTCATCGACAAGTGGAGTTAAAAATCAAATAATAATAATAATAATATCCACCGAAAAAAAAATATTGCACAGTATATGACAACCATAATGTATGTATACAGACATATGAAAAAAAAACAATTAGATTAAAATAATAGCCATTGAAAAATAAATAATTCATCAGGTAGAGAAGAGAATAAAATGATCAACAATTTGAAAATATAATTCATACATTGATAATAAATGCACTCTGAATTATTTAAATAAATTATTAAATAGAAAATAGTTATAACGCATGTTCACATGAATATGGACGAGTTCAAAATGAAAAGAAAAAAAAATGGGTTATTCAGTTAATTTTTGAAATAAATGGAAGCAAACTTTTAACCTACGTATGTATACAACAGTAAGTTAAATTGGCCAGATATTTGTTTATATAATTTACAAGGCACAATTTTTTTTAAACAGATTCTGAAGAAAAAGACTGATGGGAAAGTCATGGGACTTTATATATATATAAACTTAATATAATTTCCTCTACTAAAGCAGTTCAACAGTTCAGAGTAAGAAAACAATCTAAAGGAGACATTTTGTTAAGGTTATTACTTTGACTTTATTGTTAGTTTAAATCAGATAGGCTTTTGTTGTTTACATGACAATGTATTGATTTTGTCCAGCTTTACCACCTGATGCGGTCGCCGCAGCTACAGCAGCTGCTCGACCTACCGTATTTGAATTAGCACGAACTGAACCGCGACAAATAACTAGTCGTTCACGACTACCTGTCAAATGAGTATTAACAACATAAGCTGACAATGTGATAGGAGTAGGAGTAGAAGTTGTGGAATTAGGCAAAACATCAGAAGATAAACCATCAGTCATATTTGATATTAATGTTTGTTCTAATGGGATAGGTTCTTGTCGGAAATGTTCCAACATTTCTACGATTGAATCAAAAGGTAGGTGTTGAACTCTACAATGACCATCTGGACTCAAAGTCATTCTTAAGTGCTATATACAAAAAGAAAGAAATAATAATTCCGTGAAAAAAGGTGATGAAAAAAATTTGTGGATAAAAAAGTGTATTGAGAATATCAAAGATATTTCTCAATAAAGTTTCATTTTTTGGAGAACTATGTACGCATGCAAGAGTGTAACAGTTAGAAAATGTCATTAGCGAACTAAGCGCGAATGTATGTAACGGACGGCAGCAAACTCCACTTATAATTCGAGAGGGAGAAAAAGTCAATGGGAAATAAATAAAAATACACGAAATGATATTCATAAACCTAAATTATAAGCCAAAATCCTATATCTATAACATGTCAGTGACGATGTTTTGATTATTCTTGTGCTTAGATAGTCAAAGTATTTTTTAGACAGTTCTACTTTGTATAATAAAGATATGGGAAACTGAATGATGTGGTCCAAAAGGGCCAGTTCAAAATTCTACTACAAGTTTCATTTGTTTGCAAGAAACCACAAAGATGTATCTGAATATTGCACAAAGAGGTGATGAGTTCATCAACGCACAAAAATAGTTTTAAATAAACATTGTACAAAAGAACCGTAATTCACAAAATCACTTTTACTATACTAAAAGAATAATGAAACCTATGTTCTGTCCACCTTCTGTAAAAACCGCCACACCTATTAGCAAAATGATCCCCAAAATTGGACAGCAGGTCATTCTGACGTTAGTGGAAATGTTTCAGAAGCTACCACAATCAGTCATAGTTGACGTGAAACTTGAGATATGTGTGGACCGGTCAAGTTGTCAAACCACATAGGTATACGGAGATTATGTATATTATTAAACCACATAATAAGAAAAATACCAAGGTAGTCAAAGAAGTGGTATCAGTGAAATTGGTTAATCTATAAACGTGATATCCACCAACCATGTAATTAGTTAGCATTTAAGCAAGTAATCGGTAGTATAACCTTCATAGATTACGTCAGAGTTATAAAATAATAATTCATTAAAAGTTAGTTAATTGTGTACACAAATCCACAGTGATTTACTTGAAGAGTTCAACAAATGATGACTGATCAAGTAATTTACATTACAAAATCATTATCAAGCACCAGGCTATTAGCACAATGTCAATTGTCTTCCTCAATAAGGGATTAATGATTTTTACGTGATAGAACTTTTTCTACAACACAAACAGTTAAAATAATCTAAAACCTAATTAGAGTAGTGCCTTAATTCAAAACTCCAAAGCGTTTTAGTTAAAGAACAACGTGAACCCAAATGTTGTGAACAGACAAGTCGTTCATCATTCAGTCCATAGACAATTATTCGCATACAGTGGTATAATCAACGATTACTCTTTTTTCGTTAATCGACAATTTATAAACAGATTTTATAAGATATATAAGCATATACCGTACAACTATTAAAACCAAAGAATAGTATGTGTTGAGATTGTGAAACATGAGTTTCAAAGTGATATGATTCTGATCAATAAATTATACTTAAAACGCAACACAGACAGATAAACAGTTAAAAGTGATCTTCGACTGTACTGTTTTATTTTAGTGTTGAACAATGACATTACCACATACACTAAACTCTACCGCTTTCTAATATCACGAATTAATGTATTTCGAAAATGATTTCTTGTAGCTTAGGAAACGAAACCACCACTAACAATGATCTTGTGGTTTAACCAATTTAAAGTCAGTTCAACTTTAATCTTATTCGGTGAAAAAACGAGACGAAAATAGATCTATGGTTAATGTTGTAGACCGATTCTTAACGTGACTCAGGAACCAAGCATAGAAACTACTTTGAGCAACAGTCTCAGTGTACGCGGCAGTAATACTACCCGACAGCTTAATCCGAAGTTGGTGAATTATGGTTAAAACTCATGATCGAGTGGTTGAAATTTGAGTGCTTTAGCAAAGCTTTGCTTTCTTAGGATTTAATAAACTAATTTACTTATTTAAGGAATAAATACTACACTAGAACGACATAATTTATGAGGTCGCCGTGTCACAAACAAAAACATTTAGACGACATCAGTAACGAAGAGCTAGTGGTCCCCTAAGGAAATCACCTCTGTCGGTTTGGGCACACGGGAAGTATTCCGGCTCTCACACAAATCAAATGATCTGTGGCTCAAATATATTTGATGACTCCATGTATCAATGTTTATGTGTTTAAATAAATATAAATATATAAATGAAGTTTAAAAAACAGACATTTAAAATAATTACACAATCCAGAAGTGATAACAAAGTGTATACTCACCTTAGGTTTACCATGACAACTAAATGTCAGGACGAATTCACCCTGTTTTGTTTCACTTTGACGCACAAGAAATACACCATCTGTAGTTGGCAAAGCAGGTGGCATGTTCGATAAGTCAGTAGTATTTTGTTCAAAGTTAAGACTTATTCCAGCAGCTTCAGGACAAGTTAGATGTTGTTGTGTAGTACCATGTTCAAACTCCGAAAGTTGACCCAATACATAACTAGCGGCTCGAACTCGTGAAAGCGTTCCATGATACCATGGGTAAATAGAAAGCTGGTGACAAATTACATCTTCAAACCAGAAGTCAGTGAGGAAATACGTGGCAGGTTGCTTGAAGAATTAAAAACAGAAAACGCTCCACTTCGAAAACTATCGACTCTTGATTGATTAGGTGAATTAATTTGTTCTAGTAAAGTATTGTTTGTCAAACTGCATAACCTATTGCTTTTATCTGGTCTGCTAATCGAGTGTAATGAAACGGGATGAGAGGAAGGCGATGTATGCCGAAATCCTGAGGCGAAGGTAGAAGGTCGCGATGGAGTAGGACAAAGAACTGGAAAAAATATAATACAAATAGTAGTGATTAAATGGGACAAAAAAGTTAGAAAGAAACGAATCACTTTTACATAAATAGGTTACAGTCCCAATTTCAAGAAGTAATGAGGAAAACAGCTAATTCATATAAGAATATGTAAAAACTCAGTATTTACAATCTATTTATTGATATCTGCAAAAATAACTAACATGATGTGGTAACCAAGTAGAGCTTTGTACACTTGATTTGAATCACACTTAACCGAGCACTAGACATTGCATTGATCTTTTCAGTTTTACTTGGATTCTAGGTGGGATTCGGTACTAAGAGATACTGAGGGATAATAAACCACATAATACATGAGAGGACTATGAAGATATAAGATGTACCAGATATGAAGTGCACAATACGTTAGTTATTCTTTGTCATTAGCGCAGGAAACAAAGAAACCGATTTAAAGCGATTGCTACTGAATTAATGAGGTAGGCGACTGCTTTTTTACGCATACAGATATACACATTATATCAGTTATCATATACGAAAAATCGAACTACACCATTAATATATCGCTCATAAACTGATCACTTTAAATCTTAATTCACAAATATCCTGCACCATTTTGTAGAAAGAAGGACAACTAAAGATTATCATTTGATAATAAACTAATTAGAACTTATACTGAAATCTCATAAAAACTTGAATTTTCGATGGAAAATGCACCGACATCTAGAATATTTGATATCATAGTTAGAATATGAGTTTGAGAGGGGTTTCCATTCCGAACAGTATTGTTGTTATTATTAACTAATGATGGAACTTATTGGAGGGGATGTAGAAAAATTTGTTGATGAAATCCTGCAACAATGTGAAGTTTGTTTAAAATGTTATCAGGTAAAATTTAAAACAAGAACAAACATTGATGCAGAATAGTATGAATTCATATTATTTCGAGGTTTCTCGTCAGCTGCTTACAAACCAAAATTGTGATAGAATTTTTACATGGAGATAGTGTGAAACAATTGACAGAAATGAGTGTAAATAACGTGATTACAATAATAACTATATATATATGCTAGAAACAGGTCAGAGGTCAAAAGAGGGGAGTTAATCCAGGGTGGGTGGTGTAATAATTTAGTGAAGTTCATAAATTGTGTGATAATTGTAGAGATTAATGGAATTAAATAATGATAAGGTAGATTACGTAATAATAATTAAATAGGGTTTGGAAAGTTGAGATGATTCAAGAGGATCAGGTGAAGGAAATGTGTGAATAAAATTTATTTTAAGAATCAGGTAATAGAAGGGGAGTATAAATTATCTTAGAATAAGTAAATGAATAAAATAACCAAAACACAAAACAAACAGAAATAAAAAGATTACCAGGGTAGTGATAAGTTTATTAAAGTCTCTTTTTGGATGCATAAGTCCGGTTTCAGTTTCTTAATTGCAATGGCTTCAGCAAAGCGGAGAGTGGTAGTAGTTCTTTGTCTATTGATTATTTTAAACGCATGCATAATATCGACGGTATGCCCGGTGTCAAGTAGATGCCGAGCTATTGCACTGTTAAAAGCTTTAGTCCCTCGCAGCGTCAAGTTCTTCGGAATATGCTCAGAAATGCGAACCTGTACTCTTCTCTCAGTTCTTCCAATGTATGTGCTACGGCACGTACATGTGAATTGGTAAATGCAGTTGGAGCAACTGAGGGGAGAGGACTTGTCGATTTTCGTTTGTTTCAGTGAGCAGTATGTTTTCCATAACGTAGTCAGTTTGGCTGCCGGGTAGGTCACTTTTAAAGCGGAATTAATTTTGTGATTGATAATTCCGGCGACTTCATCTCCTTTGAAGCGTAAGGATAGGAAGCAGGTTTTCTTTTCAACTGTATCATGCTTAATCGGAGGGTTTGTATTAGCATATTTGTGGATGAATTTATCCGGATATGCATTTTCACGTAGGCATTTGGTGATTGTAGTAATTTCTTCTTCGAGACATTCTTTTGAGCAGATTTTTCGTGCGCGGTCAAAAAGGTTTCGCACAATACCCTTTTTATAACTCATTGGACAGAAGCTGTTAAAGTTGAGATAAACTCCGCTCCAAGTATTTTTGCGGTGAATGTGTCTTTGTAGTGTGCCGTCTGATGTTCGCCTAATTCCAATATCTAGGAAATGGAATTTATCATCAACTTCATGTTCCATGGTAAATTCAATATCTTTGTGTACTTTATTGAACAGACTAAGTAGGTACATGGAGTGTTGGTGATTTTTGCAGACAAGGAACGTGTCATCCATATATCTGCAGTAGAGTGTGGTACTGTCGATTGCGTGCTTCAGTTTCTTTTGTTCCAGATGTCCCATAAATATGTCGGCAAGAATTGGGCCTAGAGGGCTGCCCATTGCTATTCCATCAATCTGTCGGTACAAAACATTGTTAAATTTAAATTGTATGTTTTTTGTACACAAAAACAAGAGCTGTTTAAATTCCTGGGGTGGTAAAGGCAGGAGTTCTGGATATTCACATATGATCTCTGCCGTTTCTTCCAAGGGGATATTTGTGAAAAGCGAAGAGACATCAAATGAAACCATGAATTTGTCAGAGACATTAAGGTTTTCAAGTTTTTGTACAAATTCAAAGCTGTCTTTCAAACTGTAGGCTGCTAGTTTTTTGCGGATTGGTTCCAAGCATCTAGTAAGCCAGCGGGCAAGTTTATGGAAAGGTGATTTGGCCATCGATAATATTGGTCTTATAGGGACGTCGGGTTTATGTGTTTTGGGTAGCCCATATAAGTATGGCAATTGTGACCCTTTTGGTTTAAGTTCGTTATACGTATGATTATCTATTAGATTTTTCTTAACAAGTTCTCTCAACTTTCTTAAGACACGTTTCTCTGTCGCATCTGTTAGGTCTTTCTGGGTATTGTCAATGATAAATCTGGAAAACATACTGCTCACTGAAACAAACGAAAATCGACAAGTCCTCTCCCCTCAGTTGCTCCAACTGCATTTACCAATTCACATGTACGTGCCGTAGCACATACATTGGAAGAACTGAGAGAAGAGTACAGGTTCGCATTTCTGAGCATATTCCGAAGAACTTGACGCTGCGAGGGACTAAAGCTTTTAACAGTGCAATAGCTCGGCATCTACTTGACACCGGGCATACCGTCGATATTATGCATGCGTTTAAAATAATCAATAGACAAAGAACTACTACCACTCTCCGCTTTGCTGAAGCCATTGCAATTAAGAAACTGAAACCGGACTTATGCATCCAAAAAGAGACTTTAATAAACTTATCACTACCCTGGTAATCTTTTTGTTTCTGTTTGTTTTGTGTTTTGGTTATTTTATTCATTTACTTATTCTAAGATAATTTATACTCCCCTTCTATTACCTGATTCTTAAAATAAATTTTATTCACACATTTCCTTCACCTGATCCTCTTGAATCATCTCAACTTTCCAAACCCTATTTAATTATTATTACGTAATCTACCTTATCATTATTTAATTCCATTAATCTCTACAATTATCACACAATTTATGAACTTCACTAAATTATTACACCACCCACCCTGGATTAACTCCCCTCTTTTGACCTCTGACCTGTTTCTAGCATATATATATAGTTATTATTGTAATCACGTTATTTACACTCATTTCTGTCAATTGTTTCACACTATCTCCATGTAAAAATTCTATCACAATTTTGGTTTGTAAGCAGCTGACGAGAAACCTCGAAATAATATGAATTCATACTATTCTGCATCAATGTTTGTTCTTGCTCTATTTAAATTCATAAAGGGAACCAATTGCATAAAATTTAAAAGCAAAATCACTGATTATTTTATTCAAGTTTAGCTTGTATTTAGGCAAACTTTTCACTCAAACATTTTATTACTATTTATTTCTATCAATACACCTAACATTCACTTGAATCGTAATGAAATTTTCATCGGATTCAACCTGATGGTGTTTCATGGTTTTAATAATTAAACAAATAACACGGTATAGTCAGTCAGATATCATATAATAGAGAGGAGACAAGAGTAGACAGTGTGAATAGACAAACAATAATGAGAGAGAAAGAAGAATCGAACATACCATTAGCAGAAGGTTTTATAAATCCATGAGAAGATATAGTATTATTCGCTGTGGCAGTGCATCCATCTGATTGGCTAAGATTCATACTAGTGATAGCCAACAAAATAAAATATTCAAGTTACAAAATCTATAAAACTAACATTTATATTGTTGATTAACATTAGACATTTAAATCATTTGTTTCCACTGCAAAACATTTGCCAAAGAGAATGACATTGTAAACAAAAAATCAATCCTAGAAGGACAAATTTTGATCAAATATCGTTAACTTCCGTTTCGTAGCCAAGACTAATTTCATTCCTGCTTTTCACGTAGTGACGAAGGTTGGCAAAAAAATAAAACAGAGGGGTGGATAAATTTCACACTCAGCTGTAAGAACGCATCTTAACCCACAAATATAGTTAGAATATGGTGAATGAACAGTATATGTACAGATGAGTTTAACTTAATGACATGTTTTCCCTGAATACCACCCAGATTGTGCCACCTCAATTCTAGATCAGAGCAATCGTGACAAAAATGGTGACAGAAAACAGAGAATATAAAACCGTTTCACATTTTGTCTATTGAATACTAACTTCGAAGTCAAAATGGGAAAGGCCACTGGTAATTACAGCGGGGGGACTATACTGCACAGACGACCTTGAGCGGTTCCAAAAGTACCCTTGCAAACCAGAAAGTAAGTGATGTGAAGGGATAGTATTTTACAGAGAACGAAAGAACTAGAAAAGACCAAAACCTTTTATACAACCCAAGAACTGGAAATAGCTCTAGATATTTTGAAATCACAACAGATGTAACTCAATAATTCGACCACATAACTTGAAAACATATTACTCAAAGAGTAATAAAATTATATTTCTTCAGTCGTCACAATATCGCCCAAACATTATTCGTGTAGACACTTATTAAGGTGTCCACAGTGTCACGTATGCGCCACAATGTGATGAATGTAACCAAATCTCGATAGACTTTTGTAAGCTTTGCAATCGTGGGTCCGTGGTTGGATGTACTCCCTGATGATAAGCATGAAGGTTAGAGTCCATCGATTAATCACGTATTGAAAACGCCTCTATTGAAGAATTCTAGAATTCCAGAAATCTGCTGGTGGGATTTAAGGAAATACTACTTAATCATTACATTTTTTCAGTTCTATTGAATAGTCTAAATTCGGAAATAAGATGAATACGTGTTTTCCCTCTTAGACCTTTATTAGGATCCGAAACATTATCTAACAATAATTTTAATATTCCTTTATTGTGCAGCTAATTGTAATAACTTAAAATGATGCATATTTTTGAAATATCTTGAAGTAACACTTCCAAACGAAAATGCAATTATCAGTGTGGAATTGTTGAGAATGTTAAGTTTTTTTATTGAAATCATGAATTGATGAATGTTAGATCACCATCGAAAACCTGGAAGCACTGGACTGCTAATCCGTGTCAGGTAGAGACAGGTATCTGCCTCAGACAATAGATGTTCGCGCAATTTCGTGGATTGGTTGAAGTTAGACATTGACACCTCTGGATGCAGACTCAGTGGTCTAGAGGTTAGGCGTTTCCGCGCGAAACCGAAGATCCTGGGTTTGAATCCCGCGTGCGGGACCGTTGATGTGCACTGCTGGGGAGTCTCATACCAGGACGAAACGGCCGTCCAGTGTTTCCAGGTTTTCAATGGTGGTCTAAAATTCATCGATTCCTGATCCCAATCGAAAATGCAATTAGTAATCTCAACTAACGCGGCCTGCTTGAATATCTGGGCTACCTGTTCCTCCGATCTAGATATTTCATCAAGTTATCTGTTCTGTTGTTTGTTTTAGCACATCATTATGTCTATTGTGCTCACAATCTATTCAGGCGCGTTTATGAAATGTTTACAACCTTTCGCTATACGGGATACAAAAAGGTACAATCAGCGACATCAATATCCAATATGCATTGAAACGAATGAACATTAATGAAATGTGGATTACCGAACTCCTAACATCTAACTGGTCATCATTCAAAATTGATCGTCACAATCGATCAAGATATAAGAAAAGGAAACTTTTTGAAATACTTTATGCTGAGAATTCTATGTTGTACCAAAAATATAATGTTGGATAAAGCTTCTAATGATAATAATAATAACAAAATTGTTTAATTGTACTAGCATACTGACCGATTAAGAGTCAACTTTAATTTAGGAGGCGAGTTTAATTAAATACATTTAGAAAAATGGTTTTCTAGTTTACAGTGTTTGGTAAAGAACTACTTTTGCTTGCTTAAGACTGTTAGTTCACTTATAGTTAATAAACTGAATGCATAAAAGTAAAAAGTGTCTGTTGTGAAAATTTTGTAAAAATGGTTTACCTATGATTTGTAATGGGACGATCAGATTTAGAGGAGGCAGACCAAACATCCGGTACACTACTAACATGGCTACAAACACATGCAAATGTTGATATAGGAGTGGAGTTTGCTGAGTTATCTGTACATAGTGGTTTGGAATTAGTAGAATGAAATACTGATGTGTCATGAACCTTTTTATGGTCGGATCCAATGCATAATTCATTTGCATCAGTTTTGTTTGGTGGTAAAGGGACTGAGGACAGTATATCAGAGGGTGATTTTGAACTAGAATCCAGAATCGCATCACAGTTAGTGCATCGTTCAGATCGAACAAAAGTTACAATACGACTAGGGTCAATGTCACACTTAGGAGAAACAGGATTCCTGCGCAATGGTGGCAAACCACTACGTATAGCAGCGATCCATTCGTTGGCATCGATTTCATCCGATGACTGAAAAATCTTTTGGTCCCCGAATTCGGTCTGCAAGTGAAACGTTGAGGATATTACACATGACAATTTCAATAATCTCAAAAATAATTAAAGTAAGGAAAATAATTTACACATCTTAAGATTAGCAAATAGACGAAATATGTTGTATAGATTAATGCCTTTGTATTATACATCTGGTGTAAGACTTAATGATATTAAATGTATTGACCGGATGATTTCAATCACTCATTAATTTATCTAGGCTCTTAGGCAGCAGGTCTTAAGAGAGAACCCTGTCGTACCTACTTCACTCTGTGCAGCCAGTTAGCATTACTAGCCCTCACATAAATGTACCTTAAAACTGAACATAAACATGTACGTGGAGTGAACTACATTTAGTTAATTAAAATGAGTAGATCAAATAGTCATCACTATACCGGACAATTAGATAATACAGATACAGAGACTTTTGCGGGACTAATAATTCAACGGGTAGATAAGATTACTTAAAAAGTAAATTTAAATATTTTTCAAGTAGAGATGGACGGTGACTAGCAGTAAAATCGAGGACACGCATTTTATCTTATTCGAGACTTATCACCTAATGTACTTGCATCTTAGAGTGGACATCAACTTTGGGATGCAGGTACACCCAGCTGACGAGTTCCGAATAGGAAAAAATGCTTATAATGTTTGTGACTTAAGGCAATATCGAGGCCATCCACACAGGATGAAAATATGCCAAAAAAGACTGATTAGTTGCAGTCATAAACATTAATGGGAAGATTCGAACCAACACAAAAATGAATAAGATGGTAGTTAAGTTTGCTGGAGAAGACAAATTAATCTTTGTTAAACGATATATAAATTAGTTCGAACTCTACTGGTTTGATAAACATCAACACTACTGAATGAACCATTCTGAAAAAAACATGAGCTGATATTTACAGGGATTTATTCAGATAATGGGAGTCTATACTAAATTTGTTGTTGAACTGATTTCTTTCTTTTAGTTTTGACGTTTCTAAAAAATACTGCAAAATAATACTATCTTTAATTATTAAGCCAGAGGGTAATACAGATATTGAATTTCTGTTCACGTTAAATTAGAAGACATAATCGAGCACAAGCCCCCAAATGGCACGGCCGAGTGGGGAGTCCGCTCTCCTCGAAATGCTCTCGCATGGCCACGCGCATATAGCCTCTATTTGGGAAGTCCTACTCACTGCCTTCTCGTGGCGGTGTTGTTTACGGAATTGGGAGGACGAAAAACGAATGTTCGGTGCTTTAACCGGGTCGGTGGACACCGAGAGTCCACCTAGGGGAGTTGGAAAATCTTGATTCCAAACCAATGGTGCACATGGGCTCCAGTATCCTGCGGGAACAAATGGCGTGTGAACCAACTGTTGGTCACCGGCTACCATGGGATTGCATCTCCTTACGATGCTCCACCGCCTTGTGTATCAGACCTTTAGGTCGAAGGCTCCGGTTGTGGCCTCCAAGAAAACCACCTGCTTCGGTCTGGGCACCCGGGCAGTATCACAGCCCTCACACAAATCAAATGAGATTTGTGTGGCGCATATGTATCTGGTGCCCCCTTATTCCAGTATTTGTGTTCAAATAAATAAATAAATAATCTAGCACAATGCATTTATTTGAATCATGTGTTAGCGACAGATTTTAAATCTATCTTGACCTGCAAACTTTTGGGAATTTTCAAATCAATTCTTTATTAATGATGCCAAAGTATATTCATCTGTAATCTATAAACTTTTAAACATTTACGAGACTTCGAGATGAAATCATCTATTATGCGTTTTCTCATTATGAAACCTATCGTTTACACCAGTAAAATATCTTTTTATATCATCAACATAATTGAAATACCTTTAAGATTGTGTTATTTCTGAAAACTGAAAATATTTCTTTAGAAATGAGACGCTTTATGATAAAAAAGATGAACCTTGAATACTAAAGTACACTTAATTTTTTAAACTTCATTAACAATGTTTTCTTTCACTTCAATAGTACTAACAACAAAACTGATAATTAAACAGCTTAAAGTTGATGCCTTCAATTTAACTTTCCATATCAAATTCTTATATTACAAATTCGGTGGCTTAATAACTCAATGTCAATAGAACTATGAGTAACTATTTTATGAGCATTTAGAAATTTCCCAAAAAAGTCATCCAGTTATTCTTTAGCATTAATCTGGTATGATGACTACCAGACGTAAAACAACACCTGTGGACCTGTATGAAGTCTCATTGTTATTCGATCGTAAACTGTTGTAGGTGGAAATCTCAATATTGGTGTCTTGCACAAATAATTATACGAGATATTAAAATCTCTTTTAGCGTTATTTATTCAAAGGATATTAGTAACAGTTAAACGATATCATGATGACTGTCATAGAATCAGATGATTCAAAGAAGCTTGAAACAACAGTGAAATATGATATTATATAACGTATTTGTGTTTCTTAACTCATGAAATCAGCTTTACTAAGGTTATACCAATAATTCCTGTTGTTTTCTGTACTGGGATGGTATCGGATACAGCCCAAAGCCATAGTCAGCAAACATTGTGCCAAGGCTTTTTGGTGTTTTAGATTTAAATTAAGGCGATCCAATTTCAATTATTCGCAATCAACTAAAATATCAGTAAGGTTCAGAGCACTTGAAATGTGTTATTTTAAATCACAGAATACATGAATTTCTGAGTAATATTTCTTGCTGAGGGAATTATTACGACTGGCAAGATACTACTACTAGGAGGGCGAATTTGATGGAATTAAATACACTAAGTGGCTCGATCAATTGTGAGCAACATAGAGCCTGGGACATGTGCACCGGTGTAAGTTCCTACACGATTTCATCCCAGTGTGGTGAAATTGCCAAGACAAGCCCAGATAGGTAGAAGTAATAACAGTATCAATGTTAGTAAGAAAGACTAAGTGTAGACATGATCCGATAAGCATTGAGTGATTATGAGTAATGGCAGCACAAAGATGACACAGCCATATGAGTCAGTACTCTACACACTTAACCTACCCTAGACAGTAAACAGGGTCTCAGATTCAGACTCAGAACCATTTGAACTATTCCCAAAAAGAATGACGGACTGAAGAGCCTGGCAAAAATATGTGTCAACACTAATCGGATAGTATGCACTAACCAACATTGGTCATTCTGATAGTTAACGACTTCGAGACTGAACCTGTGTCTTGGTTTGTCCACCCTTAGTTTTCTTCCAGTCTGATCCTGCTTTTGTCAACACTGTGCGCTGAGGTAGCCGGTGGTTGGTCATACGTAATACATGTTCCATCACCTCAGTCGATGGAAATTGTCTCAGCAATTGTCAGTAGCAAACTGCATAGTCCCATATTAATAAGTGCTTGATCGATTGAATACTTAAACAAGAAAACAGTTTGAGGATAAATATGGTTAGTGACACGAAAGCATATGCCGCTACCATGGCACTCATCATTCTACACCCATTTTAATCACATCGATTTTCTTGATATAATACTGTGGTTGGAAAATAACTTACGATACCAGCATAAAAGTGACATTTTAGAATTTACTTAATCTAATTGGATTGGATGCTGAAGAAACGACAAATCTAAAGATTAGACTTTTTACGAATAAAACTCACTTTAACAAGTAAAACGTTGTTCCGAGGGTCTGTAAGTTCATCAGGACAGACCAATCGAACGTCGAAAATAAGACCACAGCACAGACCATACTGGGATTGTTCAGCCTAATTTTGACGTTAAAAAACTACAGGTTATATATATTTTAGATGAAGAGAATAGATTTAAAGTGAAACCGAAACAGAACAATCATATTACTTAAGTATAACTAAGCAATAAAGTCCACAACTATAGAATCTACAACATTCATTCAGAAAATAGTTCACTCAATTATCAGAATCAAAGCTAAATTTGTAATTAACTCCACTAAACCATTTAACTCAATAAATTGTATAATCAGACTTTCGGGTTACTTATTATGCAATCATGTAACAATTCTGCTGAATCTAGCTATTTCATATGATCGAACGTGGTAAATGTGAACGTAAATCGCACGACCGACTTAAAAGAAATCCACAATATATCGTGATGTTAAATACAAGGAGATACAACAGGAAGCACCACAGTAATTAGTATATTTCCCTCCTTATCTTTTCTTTGGAGATACGGGGAAAGAATGTCAGAATAAGTATATTTTGCAATGCGAAAGTGGTCAAGAAATTTTACGGTTGAAGATGGATGGTTGATAAACACTGTCGAAATACCTTTTAATATATTATTTGAACAGTTCCAAATGAGATATGTGTTAAGGTAGAATTTATAGCAATATCCTGCATTTTGAGTTAACAGTTTCTGATTATACCTGAACATAGAGTATTGAACAAATGAATTGCTATGAGCATTCTAAAGCCTAGTTGATCAATCAACCAGACCTAGCACAAGTGTGTATCGATTCAGGTTTTGATATTGTACATAAGCACAGCGAACTAACAATATGTAAGGCAAAAGAGTGGAATAGTCTCGATTGAAATAGAAAACTATATATAACAAAAGTGAACGAATGCGAACTAGAAAGGAGAGAAATAGAGTGAAACTAAGCTCAATATTTCGAGGAAAAGTGAGAATAGATATAACTGAAATTAGCTTTACCCATATAATCCAAGTGTTATAACTCTGTTTCTTACGGTTAATGACCCAGCTATTCCTATTGCTTAGTATTCTCGGACACCGATTCACTCGACAAGTCCCCAAATCAGAACACGGTTGAACAGGAAAAAGATTATATTCCAAATAGCAAGTCAGAAGCCAGTAGGAAGCACAATAGGGGAAAACGTCGGTATATTTATAGTTTTTACATAAGAAGAATCCAGAATATTCTCCAATTATCGACTAGCGCTGATTGGATAAGAATTAGCCAATCAGCGTGCACCAAAGCAATCATGCATTGAGCATGCTTTAGTCTAGTCTATGTCCCGCTAACACCTCCCCTCTGAGCAGATTCGTAGGATCTGGTGCTAGGGTCCAACTGCAACTGAGTGACTGGCTTGTGCTTTCGATTAGTCCATCGTCTAGGCAATGAAGAATTCTCACTTTTTCCTTGCACAGAGACTGACATGTCTGTTCCCGGCGTTTTGATTTTTCTTAAAAAAAAGTATGCATAACTTCTAATTCTCCAACATTCTCCTCCTCCTCGAAATAATGTTGGGTCCTTATGGCTCCAAATTATAACTAGTAGGACTTTATTTAAACCATGTTTCTCGTATTGACTGGAGAATCCACTAAAAATGACTAGATGATGATGAACAACCTTTGATCTGAGTTCATTATTTTCAAATTCATTATGAATCTCGTTAGCTGATAACGAGTCATTAAGAAAGTCAACGTCTAACAGAATTAGATTAGATTTTTGGCCATCATTCGACTCAGCTGACATATTTCCCTCATTGTTATAAGACGGTTCATCAAAATCATATGCATTATTCTGAGAATCAATATCTGGTACACTGTCATTAGAAATGGGATAAGTTGACTCAATATAAAATTCTGTCTTCCGGTGATTTTGAGTAACATCTGGTACAATTTGGTTCATCGTGTTGCTCCAGTTATTTTCTGAATACGAGTCACCATAGCTTTCTCGACTAATAGCACGTGGACCACAATTTTGTTCGAGCTGACGTTTATTTTCGCAGCTAGACAGTACCAGTAGTGTTTCATTTGATTCTGGACTCCGGGCTTCATCTACAGGACCTGGCTCCTGATCATCTGGTATTGTCACAACTTCATGTGCATTCAGCACAGTATTTTCTTGCTGTGAGCCGGACACGTTACAAATATTACGTTCTGATTCAGGTATAAAGGGATTTGAACCCTCCACTAGATATGCTTCTGAAATGTCTGTTACTGCATCATAAACAGATTTCTTATTTTCTGGTCGAGTGAAAAGTGTGTTCAATAGTTGTTGTTGCAAGGCTAACAACTTCTGCTGGTGCTGTAATATTAACCGCAACTGTTCTAAAGAAATCGCCATTTTTCTTTAGTTTTTCCCCGTCGCCACTGTTATAATTCTATTTTCTTACGGTTAATGACCCAGCTATTCCTATTGCTTAGTATTCTCGGACACCGATTCACTCGACAAGTCCCCAAATCAGAACACGGTTGAACAGGAAAAAGATTATATTCCAAATAGCAAGTCAGAAGCCAGTAGGAAGCACAATAGGGGAAAACGTCGGTATATTTATAGTTTTTACATAAGAAGAATCCAGAATATTCTCCAATTATCGACTAGCGCTGATTGGATAAGAATTAGCCAATCAGCGTGCACCAAAGCAATCATGCATTGAGCATGCTTTAGTCTAGTCTATGTCCCGCTAACACCAAGACTTCTTTGACTATAGATTATCCTAACCAAGAAGGCAGAACCTCCTAAAATACCCAGACTAACGGTCAGTAACTTCACAGACTAATGGTAATATGTTCTGCTTTGTTGATCAGAATTTACGCAAAAAGTTCATATATGTAATTGTGGTTCGTTTTAAATCATAAGAATCAAATTCTTTACCGCTATTTTTCCAAAGCCAGTGTATGGTATTTATCCATGAAGCTAGCAGGATATTGTCTAGATTGTATAGGAAACTGAAAAATTCCGAGTGGTAGTCTTTAAGATCTTATAAATTAGCGGTTTTTATTTTATTTTATTTGAATACATAAATATTAGTACAAGGGGGCACCAGATATATATGCGCCACACAATAACAATGAGAATGGGAAGACTTTCTAAGGACATAGTTAGCACTATCTGTTGTCCGATCTGCATTAATGTGTGGACGTTGAAGGAAGCCAGTTTGAATGGTGCACGTGGTTTCAGAAAAACTGTTTCAGTATTCGTATTCGGTGGTAGCATTCAATTTTCGACCAGTCAGTGACTCGATATCGTTTAGATCGAACAGAATTTCCACCATAAGCGAGCTGCTGTATAAGTTGAAAAGTAAGGATACGCAAAGTGAGAATGGAAGAGTGACGTAGTACAAAAAAAATAAAAACAAAAAGCGAATGTTAACCAATGAGTATGGGTTGTTTGAATTGTTATGGGAGTGAGAGGAGTATATCCAACAATCATTGTCATTTCATCTTAATTGTGTGAGGGCTATGATACTGCCTGGGTGCCCAGACCGAAGCAGGTGGTTTTCTTAAGGGGCCACACCCCGAGCCTTTGACTTAAAGGTCTGACCCACAATGCAGTAGAGCAACGTGAGGAGATGCAGTCCCATGGTAGCCGGTGACCGGTAATTGGTTCATACACTATTTGTTCCCTTAGGATACTGGAGTACATGTACACCATTGGTTTAGAAAGGTTTATCAACTTCCCAAGGTGGACTCACAGGGCAGCCCTCGTACAATTAAGATGAAATGACAATGATTGTTGGATATACTCCTCTCACTCCCATAACAATTCAAACAACCCATACTCATTGGTTAACATTCGCTTTTTGTTTTTATTTTTTTTGTACTACGTCACTCTTCCATTCTCACTTTGCGTATCCTTACTTTTCAACTTATACAGCAGCTCGCTTATGGTGGAAATTCTGTTCGATCTAAACGATATCGAGTCACTGACTGGTCGAAAATTGAATGCTACCACCGAATACGAATACTGAAACAGTTTTTCTGAAACCACGTGCACCATTCAAACTGGCTTCCTTCAACGTCCACACATTAATGCAGATCGGACAACAGATAGTGCTAACTATGTCCTTAGAAAGTCTTCCCATTCTCATTGTTATTGTGTGGCGCATATATATCTGGTGCCCCCTTGTACTAATATTTATGTATTCAAATAAAATAAAATAAAAACCGCTAATTTATAAGATCTTAAAGACTACCACTCGGAATTTTTCAGTTTCCTATACAATCTAGACAATATCCTGCTAGCTTCATGGATAAATACCATACACTGGCTTTGGAAAATTTGGAACATGTTTCTACACTGGTTAACAACTCATGATCGGAGTAGCTCAATATGTACAGTATGTTTTTCAAGTCTGAGTTCGTGCAGGTTCATAAATCCACCAACTGAACAGGACGGTTACTATGAATACAAGGGAAAAAGACGACAAAATCTATGAAGATAACTGATTGCAAACGAGGATATCAGGTGGATTTGATTTATTACCTGTGGAATATCAATAACCCTAGACCCAACTTCAATATCACCAACTCAACGGCTCCAACCCATAACTCAGTGGTGCTCTAAAGAAAACGGCAACCATACCGCTTAATTTTAAACCTCAATGTGAATATTTTAGGTATTACAGCAGCCGTTTTAGTTTTACAAGTTTTTAAACCCCAACAATGACATCACCAGGTTTGATTCAAAGAACCTCCAATCTACCAAAGTAAAAAGTTGGAATAAAAGGCTTTAATCAATCTGGTTCGAAATTAAATAAAAATCACATAAACCCGTTAAAGATTCTTGAGACCCATCATGTTATCAAGTATTTTTGATCTATCTAACAAAAACTGTTGCTGGATGACAATTATCATGTGAAATATATCAGCAATAAAATTCGACGGTGTAGGTAAAAAGTCCATTTAGTCTACACGATCATACAACCTATCTATCCACACACAATAAGAACATGAGTAGCTTGACATACAAACAGATAATATCGGCTAATAAACGTAAATCACACGAAAAGAAGCCTAATCATAGACCTAATGGAAGCAATCAAATTACTTCTTAATAACATTCATTTATGAAAATGATCAAGAACAAAATTATAAGGATGATAAATAAGAATTACTTGGATATATTATTTCAAGCATATAAACAATTAAAATATCGTAAGATGATTACTTACATCAGGAGGAGTAAATATTTCTAAAATAAGGCCTGCGCTTGTACTACATAAACAAAGACGAGACTGAGCCCACTGTGTAGTTTTCTTCTCAACTCCAGCTTCAGGATTATTCATCTTTTCACAATCAATACGAGGACGATGTGAATCAAAGTGTGGACCAAGCCATTGCATCACAATACCTTCACGAACTAGTTCAGCATTCATACTTACAGCAGTCCCAGGAGAACGAGGATAAGGACTGATGTATGTTCGATTGAAAACAGAAAAAAATAACGTCCAAGTAGCCGATAAGAATTAGGCAATACGACAATAAATCTCGTGATTCACCTACTCTATGTTCGTAAATTGTGAAAAAAATTAAGCTATATTATTGGTGACATTAGTACACAGAGTAAAGATGCCAATAAAGTGCAGTCTTTTACATGGCGTAATGGAAAGCTTCAGATTGCTTAACAAAAGCGTAACATTAAGATATTAAAGAATAGGCGATTTGGAACGTATCATATCTCATACATGACCTTTATTTGTTATTTATGTGTTGTGCAACTTAGAGAATCGATCGCTGACATGTGTTGAAATAAAAGTTTTGATTAATATTTGTTAGTTCGTTTCTTGTTGCAGCAACAAAGTACCAGTTTACTTACCATAATGACGGGACAGATAACAGAAACGCGCTTTATTATTAACCAGTTGGGAGCTGATTTAGATAAATATCAATTAGTTTTGGTTTTCAACATAATGACACCGCCCCACAGCTATCAGTGTGAGACGAATCCAACTAGTAAAACTTGGTTGTGAACATGTATAGATCACAATGATTGAAGTAGTAGGTGCTAATGTGCAATCACTTCCTACCCCCAACGTTTGTGGTTAGCCAGAGCAAAAATACTGATAGATCGCTAAAATGACCAATTTACTAATAGTGACAATCACAATACAAAGCAACACATTTACTACACGCAAAACGTTGTGCTGATGCTACACAATCAAATGAATTTTAAATGTTAACTGTAATGTTTAAGTTTTTAAAACTAATTAGGTGGAAGGATCCATAAATTGAAGACCACTGGGTTATGTAACAAGTTTAGAACTTGTTGATTATTCGTAGGATAAAAATCATACAAAAACACTCCACCAATACGAAGCAAAACCGATAACGATAGCATTAATGTGGTGATCCGATCTTGCTTGAATAGCTGATCACCCTATAATTATAAATACACTCTAGCTTAGATCTCCAAATTTGCTTTCATTTTCAGAGTGTGCAGATTCTTTAAATGAATTGGCAAGTTGAACTAGTCCTAATGGGCTGAATGGATGGAAAAGGTTGATTTGAAAACTACAAATCTATACTAAAGAAATCCAAGACACAATACTACTCTTTACAGGAAGAGTAATCCATTTAATTAATGTTTAAGCAAAAAGATTCTCACCCCCCATATTTCCCTCGAGAACTGTCTACACTAAGAGGTGATCTACGACGCCAAGCGATTGTAAAACTACGTCGAAGCCAAAGGGAACTCAGGCGCCAACTAGGTTTGATTTCCGAAACACCTTGGTTTATTGGCGAATCTGTGTGGAATTTTGTCTGTTGCTCTCCTAGCCAGTGGTGTTTTTGATGAAAATCTTGCTGGTTAACTGAAGGCTGCCGATTAGAATTTTTGTTGGGAGCACTTCTTGAATGTCGAGTTCTTGAAAAGATATTCTTTGAGGCTTTATCTGAAGGTATATCACAGCTCTTGCCACGAGGTGAAGTGTTGCGAACCCCTGAGGCAGCCACAGCCTTGGACCGTGCGGCCGCTACCACAGCACTGGCATTAGCATATGCAATGTGGGAAAAATTTTCACTCAATTCTGTGGAGGAAGAGTTTATAGATAGGTTATCTTCTTTGAAAGACAAACGTTCATTCGTATTTTTTAGATCAGTACCTAGTGAAATGAATGGAAAATTTGATGACTAACTTCAGGAATAAACTTTGAAATGCAACAAAAACAAGTGACACCACATAACTACATTAAAATCATTTACTAATTTCAACCTTGGGGCAAGTTACTTCAACAAAATACACTATCTTTTATAATTACCTTATTACATGCAATTGAAAGCATCGTGTATGTATAGAAACAGGCACCTCTAAAGCTAAAAATATGTAACGAAGATAAAACAGCAAGGTTAGTGAAAAGTATGTAAAGATTTAGATGTGAAGAATGAACCATGTCTGGTTAAGAGATCAGCTTTCAGCCGGAAGTCAACTATGGTACCACCATGACTGCCACGGCTAATAGCTTTATTAACTTTCCCCGGTTTCGGATAGAAAGTTACCACTAAGAGTGAAATAATATTCTATAACCATTCATACCGAAGTATATGGAAAAGCCAACCATGAGAGACCTCAAAAATATACGATTAAATCTGCTCATATTTTTACATAATCCTGACATGTTACGAATTTGGTGACTTCACAGTTTTCACCATACTTACAATACTGTTTACCTATAGTAAGAAAATGGATCTCTAATTTCTTAATATTGCACATAGCCGTGATTCAGGTCAATCTAATGGGAGGACAAAGCAAGAAATAAGATGAATTAAGCTGTAACTTTTAGACAATTTCCACAGTATGATGCACATCTGGAATCCGTTTATATGCAGAGAAATCGGGCTTGATCAAGACATTAAAATTTAATCTATAGTGAAAACATCCTTTCATTTACTAACATGTGGTTACTCGCTCACAACCATAGTTCGACAATTACGAGTGTTAGGGTAAGAGTAAACGTACCCGACAACCTCACGACAATAAATCTAGACGACGAGAGTTAACAACTGGTTCGTTATACATTGTCTAACACAGTAGTCGAAATAAAAGAACTATGCAACCCTTAAAAGACTGTACATCTAACTAACAAGTATTTCACTAAGTAAAATAGGTGAAGAAATATATCTTGGTAAATTAAATTAGTAAATAGATAATCTTCAATAAACGTAGGCCCTGTTTACGCCTATGACAAAAAGCACTAATCACATAAAACGCGACCAAGTACCTGTTTTTGATGACTGTATTTCGGCAGGCTTATTTTCCTGCACAAAATAGCAAGGAGATAGAGATGTTTCAAATTTGCGACGCATTTTCTTAAATATAATTTCCAAAAACTCCAAAGCACAACCAGGTTTGTCATCATGACGATTATCATTTAAATAGGCCTTGAACAGCTGAAGTGCTTCAATAGATAGTCTGACGCTAGCGACCGAACAAAACTCACTCCATGTCTCCTCACGAGTCATAACAGAGGATGAAGTCCGCACCTCACCAGACAACCTAATCTGTCCGGAATATGGAACGGAGTATGAAGTATCGCAAGCAAACGATAGAGTTGCGAAAACACTAGCACGTGGTCCAATATCCAATGACTTCATGATTAGCTATTGAAAAACCTTTTGACTTGATCATTTCTAACGAGCAGAGTTAATCGATTTAAGACAGAAGTTCAGTAATATTAATCCCTGTCAAAGCTTTCTCACTTAAACCCTAAACGTTGTCGAGCAAAAGTAGTTAACTGATAGTCCTTCAGTAATTGTGTCTTGATTATAAGGAATGGATCTTAGAAATGAAATGATAATACCCCTATGTTGATCCTTCAGAAATTCAAAGGAAATGAAAAATAAACAGGCAATTGGATTGTAAGAAGTGCTTGAAAAACGCGAGTGCGTGTGAGAGTTTCGTGTGGACGTTTAACCCTAACTTAATTATTTGATGTGAGTTTAGTAGTGACAACGGAACAACCGAAAAAGCTTCATAAAAGTACTCGGCTTTAGTCCTTTGTAAGGTGCTTAACCAAGTGTTTGTAACGGTGATGGTACAGAGGCAAATAAATCCTAAAAACAAGTAGTTCTGTATGCCTTCCAATTAGATACTGACCTCATTAGTTTTACTGGACACAACCTAGCAGAAAGAGCTCGATCATATCACCTCACCAGATCACCGGTGAAAAAGTCGTGTTATGCATCTCTTACAACTGTTAGCCAGCTTAAAACAAACACTTCTCGATATGTCTATAGTTTTCCATGTATATTTCTGACTTCTAACTTGACTAAGCTGGTATACTTCGATTATAAAAGTGTTACATGTAAAGGCATTGTCAAACTCCGAATGCCCGTGGCATCTTTAATGTTGTACCCTGAGTGATCTGGTACTTCGAACAATGAACTGTGAGTCTGTTCCTCGTTGCAGAATTATATATATTGCATATTATAATATTATTTCTGTTTTCAAATTCTTACCCATGTTTATCTATTTTTTATGTCCTAACACATACTCAGGCCTTCAAAGGGCAAAATTCTTACACCTCCTACCCTTCTATTCAAGCCATTCTGGCCTAACAACATCTAAGCCTGGTTCTGATGTAAGGAAGCTAAGTTTCACGAGCACAAATCCACGTAAGTGTAGTATCATTAAGCCCTAACCACACAATCATCAAAGCTGAAAGTGTGACAATTGGGGAAATAGATATTCAACATTTAGTGCGGAGAAAAACCAAACGATGGAGAAGGCGTGGACAATGAATTGAATGGATTCGAATTGATCGGATGGCATGGCTCGGCCTTGCAGATGTGGTCCCTGTTGAATATTATCTTATATCTTTTACTCGTATTAGATATATTGTTCTGTCTCCAACCTGAATGTGTTCTCCACCATATGTTGGTAATTGTTACGATACGATGAGTTTGTGTATACGATGATGTGACCTCCACGTAAGATCCTATAGATTAGGCAATTATATCATGACAAATCTACGATTTTAGGAGCAGTACTAATATCATAGTAGACCACAAATCTACAAGTGGTTCCTTTCAGCAGTAAAAGCATGACCACGCGAAGTTAATAGGTTTGTCACCCTAAGCATGTTTACCGGTAATGTTTCTAAACCTTATGGAGATTTAAAGGAGTTAATTCCTTAACGTGGGGACCTAACTGATTGGCGAAGATTAGAACACCTATTTCAATTTATCGGATAGCTACACAGCTGAACAACATATGTATTGCTGTGTTTGTGGAAGTCACTGGTCAGCGAACTTTGCCGATTGCATCTCTAAGCAATTCATCTTATCTAAGCTTCCAAAGTTGGCACAAACGCCATAGGTGAACTGGCTACATGTATCGGTCACATATTGGAGGACACCAGGAACACCGGCACCAGGGATTGTCCTGTCAAAGTAAGGCCTCGGTCGACGCAAGACAAAATGACAAACCTCGTTAGTATTTTTGTTCGCTTGCCACTCAGTATGATCTCAGACAGTACAAAGCTCTCAAAAGATGTCCATCTAGAAAACGATCTGCCTTTAGACCACGAGAATCAGATGATACTGATTGGGGTTTATACTGCAACAATATGACATCTGTTTATTGGGATCCATTAGGTGGTCTTTCTCATTTTGAAAAATTCATTGAAGATAAACTGGCCTACTAGACTTAATTTCCATACCAAATGCCTCAAAATTTACTGAACATACTAGCCTTTAGTTTCAAAGCAGTGATCACAAAGTTGTGGCCTGTAATCTCGTTGTACTAAAGTACCCCCGTACTTCTGCTGGAAAAAGTTCTTGTTGATCATATCAGAAACGTTGCAAACACCGAAAGGTCATAAACCTGTTATCAAAAAATAAGTGAGGGAGTGAGCACGCTTCTGTGTAGGCTGCCAGAAATCTAAGGTGATTACACACAACGAATGTATTTTAGGCTCTTTCAAAGCTTCGGATGCTGGTTTCGACCGTGTTCATCTAGTTTTGGTAGGACCATTACCACATTCAAATGTATACTCTTATCTATTAACTTGTGTAGACTGTTTCACTCGACGGCCAGAAGAACATTACTGCTAAATCAATGGTCCGCGCCATCGTCGAATGGTGGGTATCAAACTTCGGCTGCCTATCAACCATCTATACAGACCGTGGACCTCAGTTCGAATATGGACTTTTCCGTTGTCTGACTACACCATTAGGAATAACATGATTCAGAACAACCACCTACGACCCACAAGCAAACCGGTTGGTAGAGCTCTTTCACCGACAGCTGAAAGCTTTCCTATCAGCTGCAAACGTTTCATAGTGGACCAACACCCTTCCACTCGTCTTACTTGGTATTCGCAACGCAGTGAAAGCCGGCATTGGATGCTCTGCAGCTCAACTCGTTTATGGGACGACACTTCGACTTCCAGGAAAATTCATGGACAATTCATCTTTTTCAATGAATATGGATCTAAACTATTACAAGAGCAGGCTTACAAACGTAATACCTTCAAATAATTCTGTTCCCACTCAACCGCAGTCAACTGATGTCTCCATTCAACCAGCCTTATGATACAGTACACACGTCTTTTTACATCACGACTCACTTCGATGACCTCTCAAAACAGCATACGATGGACCCTTCAAAGTTCTTCAGCGTGATCCCAAGTACTATGTAGTCAATAAGAACGGGACTAACGATAGCGTCAGCATTAATCGCATCGAAGTAGTGTATTTAGAAGTGAACCCTATTCACATCGCTTTTCCTTCGGTACAATCGAAAGACACGAGTCCTACATTTACGATACCTCATCCGATAACCGACACTCACGATCACACTTGGACGGTGTCTGACAGCACACTCAAAACAGAGCGTTCTGGAAGAATAGTAAGATTTCCAGAGCACCTAAACGACTACTGCACGTAAGACTCTAATCAACATTTTTTCGTTTCCACTTTTCTTTGTATTACTTTAAAAAAATATTCTATCTTTAATATGCCTATATATATTTATATATTTCAAAAAGCAATCTTTTGTTCGCGTATAAACTCGCTTATATATATTTTTTATTTTTTAAAAACACTGTTTCAGTCGGCAAAAATCGTCTTTACGCTATTGCATATATATGTACATATATATCGCATATATTCGAGTTTCTTTCATTTTTTGTCCTTACGCACGTACGAGTTTAATTCGACGTACACTTATGTATCCTTTCTCTTTCCTTTTCAGAACAGCTGGAAAAGACGAAGAAGACAAGGAAGTTCACGATGAATCGAAACTTTTAATTTACCCTTTTCTCCATTACTACAGTGTACCGAATTGCCCCTTGTAGTAAGGAAAGACGACCAGACACTGTTGAACACTGCAAGCTATCAGAAGAGTGTTTACCAACGACAAACGCGTTGGGCTTAAACTTCAGGCTGGCAACATCGTAGGGTCACCACTATCCCATTAGGGGGTAATTATCTGTAGAGGTAAATATATCCCTAAATCAAATAGCTCTGTAAGTCTTCGACATTGGATGCTGACCACATTAATTTTTATGGACCCATCTGGCTGAAGGCTCTCGGTCACTCTTCTGAACCAGGTCACGAGTTAGAACACTGTGCACAACTTTTCCTACAGCCGCAAGTCAGTTTAGATCAGCCACTTCTCGATATATTGATAACCTATCAAATATATCTTTGAACCTCTTCGCTTCTGACTTTTGATTTCATTGGGTGGCACGTCTCGATTATAGGGGGTGTCATTGGTTAAGGTGTCGTCAAACTCCAAATACTTGTGGCATATTCAGCACCCCCTTACGTCTGCCGCAATAAAAGTTCTTGTTGATTATATAGGAAAGTTTGCAAATGCCAACTGGTCGTACTCTGAAATTACACAATCTGGCCTTGGTTTGTATTGAGTCAGCTTCCGAAAACTACAACGGAGACTCCAGAGGCCCTAAAGGAGCCGAAGAGCTTCAGGTAATCAGAGCATGAGGGGGCTTTCTAGAATATTAACATGGTATGCTACCACTGGTCAGTAGTATAATACATCTCTTAGCGGATTGGCCAAAATATAATGTTGACTTGACAAATGTTAATAATCTATAAATACACATGTTTTTTTGCACAAAAATGAACCTTTGGAGTAAAGTGCTTTTTGCTTAATTTACGCCTTTTCTCTCGTATTCAGGTCGCTGTCTAGTTCGAGCTTGCGGGTTACCAGAATAGCTTAGGAACCGTATAAAGTGTCCAAAATTAGCAAGACTTATGAGTTTGGATAAGCTTGTTTGTTCTAGTGATGTTCACACTACACTACATTTTCTTTACTTTGATCTCTAAACTTGTCTGTGCCTAATCGCTCCAATTATAAAAAGAACCAAATATCTCTTATTGAAATTGTGGTGCGTGCTACTTATATTGATATAAGTAGTATATAACGTGAGTCAAAAGAACGTAATGTCTGGCAGCAGAAGACGGAGAAGATCAAGAAAAGAAGAGCGAGAAAACAATGGAATTTGTTAGAAACTGCATGAGCAATGAAATGCGAGACAATGGATTGATGTTGGCAACAGCAACAGCCCGGTTCGATATGATAGAATGATATTTTGCAAATTAACGATTTACTATATGGTTTTTCTATT